AAGTTCAGTATCTGACATGTTGATTAGAAAAGGTCATTTGCTGAGCAAGTTTGCAATTTTTTAGTATTTTATTTTTTTAGAATTTGTTTGATTTGTCAATCGCTTACAAGGTACAGGTATAAGAATAAACATAGTTTTGAATACATGAGATAGATACTTATAAGAAAAATAAAAAACAACAGGACAGGGACAGTAGGCACAATTGGTGCGCTTATGCACAGCCCCTACAGGCCTCTTAGGAAGGGGATGAGGTCAATAGTAGACAGTCTATGGTTAAAGTTTTGGGGGTTTGGGGAAGAAACCACAGAGTCAGGTATATTCCAGACATTGATCACTCTGTTGCTGAAGTCGTATTTCCTGCAATCAAGTTTGGTGCGATTAACCTTGACTTTGTATCTATTGTTTGCTCTTGTATTGTTATGGTTGAAGTTGAAGTATTCATTGACAGGTAGGACATTGCAATGTATGATTTTATATACTATACTTAGGTTGGACCGAAGACGGCATAGTTCTAGGTTTTCTAGGTCTAGAATTTAGAGTCCGGTGGCATAAGGTATTCTGCAATGAATAGAGGAGCGTAGAACCCTTTTTGTGAAATATTTCTGGACTTTTTCAACTGTGCTAATATCAGATACATAATGTGGAGTTCCAGACTGATGAGCTGAATTTGAGTATTGGTCTGGCAAATGTTTTGTATGCGCTAGTTAGTAGTGTGATATTAGCAGAGAAAAAGCTACTTAGGATTAGGTTAACAACTGTTAATGCCTTTTTTGCTATATAGTTACAGTGGGCTCTAGCACTTAATACTCATTAGAGATGAGTATTCCAAGGTCCTTGACAGAGTTTGGATCCTCAACAAGGTCTTGACTATTCAGCTTGTATTTTATTTTCTGATTTATTTATTTATTGCCAATATGTAAGACAGAGCATTTATTTGTTGAGATTTGAAGTTGTCATTTGTTTGACCATTCTAATACATAGTCAAGGTCATTTGAAGGGTAGTAGTATTGTCTGTGGTGTTGAATAGCTTTACATCATCAGTGAAGAGAACGCAGTTGCTCTTAATATGATCGCAGAGGTCATTTATGTAGAGTATGAAGAGAGTTGGTCCTAGAACACTGCCTTGGGGGACACCACTGTTGACAGGTACAGAATTTGATAGGACGCTCCCAATTTTGTCCATTTGTTGTCTGTTTGAGAGGAATGCTTCTATCCAGTTATGTGGGTGTCCAGAGATACCATATGTTTTTAGTTTTAGTAGTAGTTTGTCATGTACCACTGAATCACAGGCTTTACAGAAGTCTATGTAGATTGCGTCTATTGCTTTGCCCTGTTCGAGTTACAAATAATAACTTTACAGCTTATTGAACCATAGATACTTCCTAATTTTACTAACCCTTGGTTTATGTATCCCCAAAATATCCTTCCAGTTCCCTTCACCATCTTTGTTGCTCTTCTCTGCACTCTTTCCAGTTCGTTAGCAATTTTTCTTTTATTGTGGGGACCAGAACTGAGCACAGTATTCCAGGTAGGATTATTACTAGCACAGCATAAGGTAGAACTCTTGTTTGCCTATTTTAACCTGCATTTCTCTTCTGCCCACTCCCTCAACCTCCAAACCATGGCATTTGACAGGTTGGACCACTTTTTTCATTTAAAAAAAAAAGATAGATGCAAAATAGAATAAAGCCGTTCCGTCTTTTCTGTGTTGAAATGCAAAAAAGGCAAGGTTCAAATGGAAAGTTCTTCTTTCCCCATCCATTATAACTATATAGTAAAACCAATAGGCTAAAAACGCAAATTCCATTCCCCAGTCAGATCAACAACCTTATGTACAAAGTACTTGGCAGATATTTCTAATTTGGAAAAGTAGGGTAACCTTTACTAAGCAGAGCTCTACAAGTTCTAAATGCAGCACTTCTGTAACAAAAGGAAACAAAAATTGTGTTTAAAAAAGACCCAAAGATGACGTTTCCAAACTGAGATTGAGAACAGCAGACAACTTTCCATTTGCATGGCTCATTGCTAAGTTTTGTTGGTAAAACAGTGGCAAATTTACAAAGGCAATGTTTTCAGAGCCATGGACAATTCCTGGGTCATTCCTAATCAAAGGCATAGGCCTTACACTTTTCAGTGATTCTTTGGGTTTCCTTGGAACTTAGCTTGGTAATCAATGAGTCTGAAAAATCTTTTCAAAGCTATCAATCTTATCACAACACTTTTGTTCAGGCTAAGGAAGGAACTGATTAAGCCAAACCAGACACCTCATCCGGTTGAAGTTATTTCTGACTATCTTTTGTCTCTCACTATCTTTTGTTACTTTTGACTGGGAGTCCTCAAACGTGACAACTTCCAGACTTGTGGACTTCAACTCCCAGAATTTCTCATCCAGTTATGCTTTAAGTCCATGAGTCTTAAAGTTGCCAAGTTTGGAGACTTCTGCTCTTGACCTTGGTTTTGTGCTTAGGGCAGGATTAGAACTCTACTCGTTGCAGAATACCTTATGCCACCAGACTTGAAATTCTAGACCTAGAAAACCTAGAACTACGCTGCCTTCGGTCCGATCTAAGTATAGTATATAAAATCATACACTGCAATGCCCTACCTGTCAATGAATACTTCAGCTTCAACCACAACAATACAAGAGCACACAATAGATACAAACTCAAGGTAAATCGCACCAAACTTGATTTCAGGAAATACGACTTCAGCAACAGAGTGGTCAATGTCTGGAATACTCTACCTGACTTTGTGGTTTCTTCCCCAAACCCCAAAAACTTTAACCTTAGACTGTCTATGATTGACCTCACCCCTTTCCTAAGAGGTCTGTAGGGGGCGTGCGTAAGCACACCAAAGTGCCTACTGTCCCTGTCCTATTGTTTCTTTTTATTTTTCTTATATGTATCCATTTCATGTATTCATAATTATGTTTATATTTATACCTATTATCTTGCAAGCAATTGACAAATCAAATAAATAAATAAAAATAAAACTCACAGTCTCCTGGTTTCTAGCCTGATTTCTTAACCATTATAGCAAACCGGCTCTCCAGGGACATCTCCTGTGTTGGATTTGTAGTACAGTCGTAGAACCTCCAATATGTTAACTTATTAGACTTTGGAAACACAATCTTCCCGTATTTTTGAAACATCCCTCCTAAGTTGGGCTTCATAGCCTGGAAGAATCATCTAGCTTCACCCGATCAGGTAGATCCCAAATCAGACAAAAGTGTTTACATACTATTCAAATTTTATGTGTCTCTAATTCAGGAGTACTTCAAATGTACCCAGCCAAAGGTCACTGAAGAATCTATTGGTCTCACATCTTCCTTCTGCTCCAACTTTGGAGGAGCCATTGTTAGGAATATAAGTCACCTATGAGGTATTTGGATTAGAAATATATAAACCAGGATAGACATTTTAATACTGTCTCTTTAAGAGCATGCTAAAAACTGCAATTGGGTGTGGTTACTCAAACGGCCATAAGATGGAGCCAGAAACCTGGGTTGTTTTTGTCTTAGTCTTAGTCTCAGAAGAGAGTGTGTCTGAGTGAGTATCTCTGTTTCCTTCTGTTGGAAAGTATTGCTGTTCCTCCATTTTTTCTAATTGACTGATATTATTGGATTTAATGTAAGTCGGTTACTGAACTGTTTTTGACACTGGACTTTGTTATTGAATTATCCCTGGATTGAAAAACTGATTGATTTACCTGTGAATGACTTTTGGACTGCTTATTTTGGACTTTGCTTAAACCTTTCTGGAAGTAAAAACCTACATTTACTGTACAGTGTATCTGTGTGCTCTGTGTGTATTATTCCAACACTACTCTCTATACGTCTCCCTGTATGCGCTCATTCTCCTAACGGGGAATTACCTCAACAGCCATACTACACTGTATCCTTCAAGGATCAAAAGTCTGTATACAAGTTGTATGGAAAGGTAATTACCATTCCATCTGTCTACTTTTTTCTTTCTCCATTCCCAAGTGAAATTGTGCTAATGCAAAAAATATTCCTGTATTGCATATAGTGAATCCGCCATCTTGTAAAAGAAGGTTTTTCCTTTTTTTTCTATGGTAGGAAAGCTTTCTTGGTTTCTTTTTCAGGTTTTTAAGATTCATTTTCTGTAATAGTTGAAAACATTGTGAAATGGATTGCATCTTATAACTTTTTTAGATTTTCCTTGTCATTCTCTGAACTCCTTTCATTTCTTTCAAGTGGAATGTATTAAATTATTCATAAATAATTAACTGCTTATTTATGTTTTGGTTTGATTTCTCTACTGTTTTTTATTTAATTTTTATTTTATTTATTTATTTTATTTAAGAATACAAGGTAGCAATTTCTTTAAATGCTAGGTTCAAATATTTTTTTGTACTAGCAAATATTCCCTTGATGAAGCTGCAAAACATTTGCCCAGAACCCCTCTTTCATTATCTGATTGCAGACAAGTAATAAGCAGGAAACACGCAGTTCCACCTGGAGCAGTGCTTCACTCTTTCTGCAGGATCAGGCCACAGGCCATCAGCATATCCACTTAGAAAATATTCAGCATTTGCTGTGTAACTGATACAATTGGTTGGCAATGAAGCCCAACCCTGTGGAATATACAAATCCAAATAAAAACATCTCAAACAGATGGTTTTCTAACTTCTGCCTGAACATATTAATCAATAGTAATATTCTGGGCATCACCCACAGTCACTCCTGATGAGATGGGCAACTACTTAAATTTAATCAATAAATAAACACAGCTCCCTCAGAAAATTGCTCTTATTCCATTAAGAATTTATTTCTAATGCTCAACTCGGGAATCTGTTTTCCTGTAACCTCAGACCGTTTTTTTGTATCTTACCATCTGAGGTGTCAAAATTGGTTTTGATTTTCTGCTGTGCCATGATACTTCAAATATATGAAGAATGCAGCCATATTCCTCTCAGCTGTCATTTTTTTCCAAAGCTAAGTAAAATATGGTAAAATAACCTCTTTGATTAATTTTCAGATTCCTTTGAATACTGTGAGGCTTACAAAGATCTCTATGGACGTTGGCATCCACAGCAGACTTGTTCAGATTATTGTTGTGGGACCTGCAACAATCGTTATTGTTGCTCATATGCCTTTAGGAAAAATTATCAGTTTCTCTGTTCCCCGGAAAGGTATGATTGGAAATTACTGCGCAAGGGTTAGTGGGTTGTGAGGTTGTTTAAGAGGTGTTGTACATACAAATTCTGGAGAGGATACTGAAGTTAGAACATAATTCCATGTTCTGCCTTTGCTGCTTGTTTATCTTGTTCATTTTTCCAGCCCAAGAGCACAATAAAAGAGGGCTTGGCACTGCTATCTCTCCTCTCTCTATCTCAGTATTTTTCAACCCTGGCAACTTCTAGATGTGTGGATTTCAGTTCCCAGAATTCCCCACTCAGCAACCCCAGCCTGGCTTAGTGGCTGAAGAATTCTGGGAGTGGAAATTTACACATCTTAAAGTTTACAAAGTTGGAAAATACTGCCCTGCCTTATCAAAGATAACTCTCCAAAAACAGCTAAATGCCTGTGGAGATTTTCAGTCATCCAGGTCACGGTTGTTCCAAAGGTGCTTTTTCAGAAGTCAGTTGGGCTTTCTTTGTTTTTCCTTAAAGGAAAAACAAAGAAAGTCCAGTTGACTTTTGAAAAAGCACATTTGGGTCTCCGAAAACAGAATAAACTGGGCCATATTTGGCAGGAGATGAGAACCTGGCCCAAAAAACTTTAAAAAAATGCTTTGAAAGATAAACCATGGTTATAGAGAAAACACATTCCAGGGAAAAAACCCTCCAATATGCTCCCTGCAGGGGTGGGTAGATATTGTAGTCCAAAAATCAGTCAGGCAATCGATTGGAAAACAGTGTTGGACCCTTCCTTAAAGTACTTCCTGTTTGAACTACAAGTGTTAAACAGGGAAGCCCTCCTGGGTTTGGCCCTGTGGCACAGGTTATAGCCAGGTCTAGTTGTGGGCTTTGCCTAAATAATGCTGTATGGGGAACTCTGGGAGCTGAAGTCCATTCAACTAAAAGTTGCCAAAGTAGAGAAACACAGACCTAAATTTACCTACTATGCCAATTGCATCTATTTCTGGTTTTAATGCTATGCCCTTACTTTATATGAGAATTGGAGCCGAGGAGAAATTTTCATTTGGCCCATAACACAGCTGCTATAGCATATGACAACCATAGTAGCATGTATGTACTGAATCCAAATGCTTTTCCAGACTGCATCTTCCCACGCAATCCTATGCAAACCTAAATACAAAGGTCCCCATTTCTTTTGAGCTGGTGAAGACATTTTGAGAATATGTTTCACGTGCTCTCAGAAAGGGACCATTGAGGAGACTCACCCTGCTGCAGACCATACTGTAGATTTACCTGTAGACTGTAGATTATGCTGCAGATCATACTGTAGATGTTACCTGCCATCCCACTATCTTCCTACTTTTCGTAGTCACAATATGGATGTACTTTATTTTAAAAGAAAGCTTAGTTGGGGCTCAAAAATTTCTGGAAGTGAAATTCTATTGGAAAGTGGAACATTGTTTTATAAGACCCCTTCACTGTATTATTATTTACAGGAAGCACAATTTAAAATTTAAAAATGTGAAAAGAATTGGCAATCAAGGAAGATTGTTGCAAATAATTATGTCAGTGACCCCGGCTTAATACCAGCACACAACACTTTTTACATTAATTACACAATTGCAAATGTGATGTCAATCAAACAAAGCTTGATTTGACCAAAGCTTGTTTCTTCCCAGTACACTATTAAGTCTTTTTCTTTCTTTAATTGCTTCCAAGGACTGTTGTCAGTCATCTTGAGCATTATCAGAATGTAAATGTTATTATATAAGTTAACACTATTGGATATATAGCATTTCTCATCTTTTATTAGAAAAGGGCAACTTAAACATTGTTGTATTTAATCTGTGGACATCTTTTAAAATAATTTCTTTTTAATCTTGTCGCTACAGTATACTTCCATCTTTCAAGCCTGAACCATTCAAGATAGACCCAGATTTTGAAGATCTATATTCGTCTGATTACAGGTACACATATATAAAAATCCCATGGAATTAGAAAGGAAATACTCTGTATTAGCTACATATGCTTCTTTTTATGCTGACGATAATCCTTTCACCAATCAAAAGTAAAAACATAAGGGACTGTGAAATTAACCACTCTTAACATAAAAGCCATGTGTGTCTTAACACTGTAAGGATATTGATTATAGACTTAACAGATGAAAAAGGTGGGAGCTATATTCTGCTCTAAAACCAAAAGCTACAGAGCTGAAAGAATCAGCTGCAGCAACTTGCTGCGTACTTGCACTTTGAGACTTAGTGAGCTATGAAGCCTTGCCTAAGTTAGTTTGGCTATTCTGCCATTTTAAGAGGTATGCAGTTAGTCCTCAAAATACAACTAGTCACTTGGTCATTTGAAGTTATGATAAACTGCCCCAAAGATACCTACAACTGTGTTTCATTAGTCTTACAGAGGCTGCAGCACACTGCAGTCATTCAGTTTTACAATTGACAGGCTGCAGCAATCTCTCCCATGCCTCCAACCAACCCCTTCTCCATCTCCATTCTACCGTGAAGGGACCCTGAAGCACTTGAGCCTGCTCCCATGCCTTCTGGGAGCAGCCATCATTTTCAGCACTCCAACAATTCTTTGCGGCAATGACAGCTGCTTATAAAATGTATGTGTGTGACCAAAAGACCCATTCGGTCTTATTTTCAGGGGCTGTCTTATTTTGCGGTCACCCACCTGCTCCCTCCCACCATCTGTTTGCCTGCAGCTGCAACGGCTTACAGGGCTTCCCAGGTGCAGATGCACTTTTCACCCAGACAGAGAAATGACAGAGACTCAAAGCTTCATCTGCTTGCAAATGGGATGCTTTGAAACGGAGCTAAGTGCGTTGGAATCGCTCGCCTCCCTCTATGGTGCCTCTGCCTGGCTCCATCACACACTTTTCGCCTAGGAGATGAAGCTTCGTCTTCTTGCAAATGGAACACTTTGAAATGGCGCAATTAGCTCTGTTTAAAAGTGCCCCATTTGCAAGCAGGCAAAGCTTTGTCTCCCTCTGAGCAAAAAGTGTGTGGCAGAGCCCGGTGGCAGCAGAGGCACGGGAGACGGAGGCAGGCGATTCCAACACACCACCCTCTCTGTCCCACTATCTCTCAGCTTGCCCGCAGCTGTGCTGGGCAGCACCCGCCTGGGCCGTCAGGATCGCCTACCTCCCCCTCCCCAAGCCGCCTGTGAGCCGTGCAGCTGCACAGCACATCCAGATCACTTGTTCCTCCCCAACCTCTATCTCCGCACTCAACTTATCTGTGCTGTGTCAAGGGCTGCTGCTGCCGGACATCATCTGCTCTTGCATGCTTGCTGTCTCTTGTGCTGGCCATGCCCATCCCCCAGACTTATTATTGGGGTAGGGCTTATATTAGGCCCTACCCCAAAAAAATTCAGACTAGGGCTTATTTTCAGGGTGGATCTTATTTTCAGGGAAACCCAGTATATATCTTTGGTAGGAATAGCTCCCCCGGATGTTAGAAGGAACGTGGCACAAGACGTGGAATATGGAACGGTGTAACATGATCTGACACAACTGTTATTGGCCAAGTACCCTCTACAAAAAGATTGAAATGAAGAAGGAGCTTTTTGGATTGAGCCACGGGGATTGTTACTACACCTCAAAAGGAACCACTAAAAAGATGGAAACTTCAAGTTAAATATCTGCATAATTGGATAGAACTGCTTGAGGAATTGCCTGAAGGTTGGGAAGAGGAGTGGATGGTTTGAAGATGTTTAAATAGATTGTGCACTGGTTTGGCTGGAACTAAAGACCACAAGTTAAAATGGGGTTTTCTCCTTGAGGACAAGGAGAGTACTGCGAATGTGACAGTATTCAAACAACTATCCATCTTTTTCAGTGCCCTCTGGGACTGAGCTGCACACAGAATAACTTTCTAGTCGGAAATATCTCTGCCATCAACATGGCCCAGCATTGGGCTAGAACTATATAAATCTATGTTTTTATTCAAGTTTTTTATCATTTTAAATGTAAATTAATAATTATCCCCTTTCTAATTCCTGCATGTCTGACCTGAGACAAAACAAGCTGGCCATCAGAAGACGCTCGTAGGCTTTGGGGAAGCCAGATGCACGTGTGCAAATGCTGCAGCTTCTGGTTGAGCTTCTCCAAACCGTTTCCTTGCTTAACCCCCTCCCTCCCTTCCTCAGAAACTCACATTTCTTCAATGAAAAAAAAAACAAAAAATCTGGGAGGGACAGACTTGTTGATCTTTACACACACACACACACAGGCACACCCCTTAGATGCTGAAACTAAACTGTCCACCCCTGTCCTCCCATCTCAATTCCTTTTAACAACTTAATTTGCTAAATTTACTGCCTGCCTAGAAAAAGGGTGACAAAATTTATTAATTACTTACCGTGATGAACGATTGCCAGGCTGAAGAACAGAAGAAAGGAAGCAAGCAAAGAAAATATTTCTGCAGGTTGTTTGCCTTGAAGGGTTGAAGAAAAAAGTTCAACTGAAAACAAAAAGCGGCTTAAGCACAAACGGGCACCAAATGGCTATGGCAGAAACTGGGTCCTAAAGGGAGTCAGAGAAGCAGCAAAAAAAGGTTTCCAAAAGTTTCCAATTCAGCCATTAGAGCACCTTAAGGTTATGTGATCACCAATCGGGCACTTCCCATCTAGTATTAATTTGTGATCATTGCACTGTCCTGCAATAATATGAGAGCTATTTGTGTCCTTCGTAGCTGGCTTACAACAAGCAGAGTTATGAAGAAAACAGACGTAAAACTGCATATATAAGGTCATATGATTTCTACTTAGTGATTGCGCAGCTTAGTGAGTGAGTTCCTGGTCCCAGTTGTGGTTGCTTATCAAGACTACTTGTATCTACTAAGATAAAAATAATTCAAGCATTAGTTCTTGTGACACTCCATGCAATGGCAATAGCAATAGCATTTAGACTTATATATTGATCCATAGTGCTTTACAGCTCTCAGCCAGGGGTGTCAAACTTGCAGCCCACGGGCCGGATGCATCACATGCTGGCCATGCTCACCCCAATTTTAGCAAAAGGAGAGAAAGTTGCAATATATCATGTGATGACAACATGACGCTATGAGTTTCATGCCCCTGCTTTAAGCAGTTTACAGTGTCAGCCTATTGTTCCCAACAGTGAAAATTGGGCTTTGAAGCAGCAGCATAGGAAGAGTATAGATGCCTTGATATTAGAAAAGACACCTGTGAATACCATGGTAAATCAAGAAAACAGACAAATGGATCATCAACCAAATCAACCCAGAATTCTCACTCAAAGCACATAAACTATCATATTTTAGACATGTAAAGTCCCAACTCTCTGGAGAAACCTATAAATCTGGGAAAGATAGAAAGAAAAAGAAGATGATGACCACCAGCAGCTAGGGCCAAGTTGGAGATAGAACCTCCTAGAAGCATTGACACCCACAAAATTGTAATCAGAAGTATGTATTATGCTAAGCACAGTGCAAACACAGAATAAAAGAACAATTGAAGCAGTAGTATATTACAAGTAATTATAGTATTGGGCTCCTTGGTGCTGTCTGAGCTTGATTGTTTTCTTGGAGACATTTCATTACCCAACTAGGTAACATCATTATAAAGTCGTAATATGAAATAAGGGATCTCTAAACTAAAAGGATATTAGGAGCTCATGAAAAAGAAGCAATCTGAAAACATTTTTTAATGTTAAATGATCCATATGTAGTCCTGCTGGACTCTTTTCCAAGTACTTGGAACCGGTGGAAAGATGCTTGTAATTTTGGCAGCCAGGAAAACCAAATGAGTCTGCCCTACCATATTGTCAAACAGACAGGAACATAAGCCACCAGTGGATCTTTGGAATCATTAGATGTGCCCACATACAGGGTGAAACTAGAAATGACAAGTGCTAAGTTACTTTTGATTAGATAGGAGGGATTAAAGAAACCCCCAGGAGCTCCCCAGATCTGGGTTGAGAATTCAAATCCCTGATATCTGCTTGTGTGAACAGCAACCGCGTGGGCAGATCTCACCATCTGATTCACCTACATTTCTCCATCTCCTCTCTGTACAGTTCTCTGATGTGCTTTCTCAAGCTACTGAGGAGATGTGCTTGTCCAATCCTGTCAGCTGGTTTGTTTGTTTTTCAGAGACCATAGCAAATGTTCAGTGATGGGAAATAGTCCAGCAATATATTTAAGGATAAAATCAGTCAAGCAAAGATGCCTCATGTGATTTTTAGGATTTAAAGAGACGGTCCTTAATTAATCATTTTGTTCTTGTTCAAGCTGCATCCAAATATTTTGTGCACAGAAATGTTACTTGGGATATTTTGATTTCTGGTAAAAGGGTTGGGAAGACTCTGCTAGTTCTATTAAGCAGTTTAGGTTTGCTTGAGCAATTGTTTCTGCTGTGCCTGCTGCACTTGGAATATCTGTAGCCCAGCAGTGCTCTGTATCTTTCAGAAAACTCTTGAGTAGGGAGCAGGATGTGATCAAAGAAGCTACGTTTCCTGTTGAGATGTGTGACAAATCACATGTCTTCCGGTTTTATTCAGAAATGTAGCTACTGTAGTTTCGTTTCTCAGTGAAAAAAAGCTTAAGAGTTCTAAGGGACAGAATCGCCAAAGGGAGTTTTGAAAAGAAAATATAAGGGGTTGTTTCCCCCCCTGGAAGCCAAAATGAGGTAAGCTTTGTGCCTTTTGTTGGCAGGAATCTTTCCTTTCATTCATTAACCATGAACCTTGGAGCTTTTCTCTGTAACTTTGGGATATTGTTTATTGAGAAGAAATACCTATTCCATTAATAGCAGTCATTTAATCTTTTTTCACTTTGCAAAGTCCAGAAAACACAACAACAGAACATTGAGGATTTTTTTAAAATGTCAAATTTCCTTGCTTGAGCCAAAGAGGAAAGCCATTACCAAAGTATAAAAATAATTCTTATCCTTTTAATGTGTTGGTAATTAACTACACAAACTAGAAAGA